CGACAGCAACTTGTCTGTTCCCCTTCCCCCAATTCCCCAGCGCTGTTCCCCTCCCCGCAATTCCCCAATAAAAATCTTTAAAAAAAAAAAAAAAAAAAAAGAATGATGAGACTTCATGATGCTGACAGCCAAACAGAATAAAATTTGTCTTTGCTTTTTATTAATGAATATTTTAATTAAAAATTAAAATATTTTAATTAAAATAATTAATTTATAAATAATGATTAATTAATGGTGAAAAGTAAAACAGTACAAAACTGAACTTATATTTAATGTTGACAGTAATTCCAGTACTGCAGCAAAAATGATAATACTAGCATTTTAGTGTCTTCTCCACATAATATTGCTTGAGATGTCATTACAAAACCCTAGGAGAAGGAACTTTTGGGGTCTGTTCACCTCTACATTCCCACATAGAACAGGACCTGGCACACAGCAGGTATGCAGTGAACATTTTCTTTTTGAAAGAAATAACTGTGAAACAGTTTAAAAAATAAATAAATAATGCTCTGAAGAGGTTACCTACAATTCCATTCTACCTACAGTGGGAACAATATGAAAGCAATAAATTATGAATGAAAAGAAATGAAAAAAGGCATTCTAGCAAATTCATTATAATCAGACTAACAAAGCACTCTGACCATACCAAAAAGCATCTGAAAATGGCTTCATTACACAAAATCTCTCTGTAATGGAATATTGCTCACAGAATAGAATTTTTAACTGTAGCTATTTCTGAGGTTATAGCTAAATTCAGCATTAGGAAATTAAGAATGAGATATAGTACTCAAAGTTATCAAGCGTAAACCAATCAGTTATCGTTTCAGAAAACTCTGAAATAGTTACCATTTCTTGAGTGTCTACAAAGTGCCATATATGTATCAGATGTTTTATATGTGTTATTTAATCATTAATTTTTTGTCCTTCAGAAAAGGACACTATTTCCATGGTTATTTTTTATTTCTTACCATATGGTTTTTGATACAAAGATTAACATACTTCTTGAATGCAGAAATATACTATCAAGGTTGATATCATATAAAACTAAAAGCACTCTGGAAAAGAAAAATTGCCATTCAGTTTGTCTTGCTGGTAAAACTGAATCCTACCTTCTTACCTAACCAGGTTTAAGAATGCTCAAAAGCAGAGAGTTTTAACAAGTTTTCTCAATTACATTTTTAAAATTACCTGGACTTTTAGCTTTGCGGCATCCATCTTTTTACGGAACTCCTTCTGTAATTTTATTTTCAAAGCAACATCAGAAAGGTCTTTATTTTCCAGTTCCTGTAGCTGCTTTTCTGTTTCAATTAATTCCACTTTTGCCTGTTCTGCTTCGTGTGCAAGTTTTGTTACTTTCAGAGAATACTGTTTGCTTACAGACTTGGCATCGTTACCTTTACCATAGTAATAGTAAAAATAATTATAAATTATGTAAAAAGAAAAAACTAAGTGAAACATCAAAAACATAAAAATGCTCTACTCTTAAAAATCCAGCTGAGCAGTGTAATTATTTGAGGCATCACATTAAGAACCCAGCAAACACAACTTGACACTTGGCCTCTTAATAATTAGTTCCTTAATGACTGTTTCCATCTGGTGCCATTCAATCTTCACACTGGTTCCTTTTTGTATTTTAACGTGACATTTCTGATCTTCTGATATGCAGTTCAGCTCCGCTGGCATCAAACTCCAGTTAGAAGGATATCTGGGGTGACTCTGGCCTCTTGCTCACTACACTTCAGCTTCCTACTACCCATAATCTTTCTGAATTCTTTTTTTCTTTTACTATTATGAAAATTTTTCAACACACCAAAAGTAGGGAAATAATATAATGAACTCTCATCACCCAGGTTCAAGAGTTATCAAGATGTTGCCACAGTTGCTTCATCTATGCCAGGAGTCATTGGCAAACTGAGGCCTGCGAGTTATATATGGCTCTTTGGGTACGTTACGTCTCAAAAGTTTGCCAACCCCTGGAAGAGCCAATCCTGTCCCTCACAACAATTTACAATTATTCGAGAGCCACAGATATATTTTTACATAATCACCATTATGTGACTAATATCCTTTAAAAATTTTATAAATGAAACTATAATAGTTTTATTATCATTTTCAATTTTACTTCAGAGCCACATGTACGTACCCAAAGAGCTGCATGTGGCTCGCGAGCTGCAGTTCGCTGACCTCTGGCAGCTCTTCCGTCTCAAAAGTTTGCCGACCCCTGGTCTTTGCCTTTTTGTTTTAATTTGCTTAAAAATTGTAAAGTAATCCCAGACGTCATATCCTCTTACCTATACATACTTAGTAAGCTTCTATACAAAATATCATTAACACAACTAACTATATGAATAGCCACCAGTCCCAGTTCAGACTTCCACAATTGTCTCAAAATGTCTTTTATAGTTGGTTTATTTTAATCACGGTCCAAACAAGGTCCACGACACTTCTGATTGTTATGTCTCTTAAGACTCTTTTAATCAGAGCTGCCCCGCCTCCTTTTTCATTCCATTGAACTTAACGATGAATTGTTTTTATTTATTTTATTTATTTATTTTTTTAGCTGAGCCATCCTGCTACCTATTGGCAGCTCAGCAGCTACTCAGCTCAGGCTGGACTCGAACCGCTGTTGCTCAGAGCTCAAACTCTTGAGCGAGCTCTTAACCAACTGAGCCACTCGGCCGGCCCTTTACGATGAATTATTTTTAAATGCCTTTCTTATGAATGTTTAGAAGACAGAGAAAAATAGAGTAAGATATTTCTATATGGCTCTTCATTCTAAGCCCAGCTACTGACCCTAAAAACTTGCTTTTGACTGGTTCTGAATAGTCGACTGTCCCTGAACTAGATTAGCAAACTGGTGGCAGTGGGACATGAGTCCAGAGGTCATGGGATGAGTAATCGCCAGGGACAATTTGCCATACTTCTATACTGAAAATCTCTCAATTTTTTAATAAAAGGAGTTATTGAACTAAATGCGCTGTGAGTTGTCTTCTGGTTCTACAACTCTGATTACCTCACTAACTTTAAAACACATACAACTACAATATATTAATGAATCTTAAGACCCCATAAAGTGTTCAACATATCAATACTTTATGAACCACTAAGAAGAAAGGTACAGTGCCAGTTATACCAATGACATGATAAAATGCAAAGGTGCCATTGATTGTAAGGTGCATCCTGATTTGAGAGATATTAAAATGTGAAAAACGTGTATTAGAATTGATGGAATACTCTATAGTTGTCACTGTTGTTATTGTTCACTAAAATAGCTGCTATTCAGGAGAAATTTTCATTGAGGAGGCTTTGAAAAGTAAGCACACATTGACACTTTCGCTAGTCACCATCTCTAAGGGTCCTTAGGAAAGTTCCAAAATGCCCTTGGTTCTAACAAGTAAGAAGAGGACCTTCTATGTGTAAGTTCAGGTATCCCCTATTTTAAGGCAACCAGGATGCGTATGCCAGGGTACAAAAGTGTTCTTGTTTACTGAGATATCCCAGGGTGGGATAATCTGTCTGAAAGGAAAACAGGTAGTACCTTGAACTCTTGGAAATGGAGAAGCTATTTCAACCCCTAAGTCAGTTCCTGGATACTCCTAAGAGAGGTTTACTGGCATAGATCCTGCCTGTGAGGAAGGAACATGGTCAAACTCAAATATCTGGGATATTGGAGCTGGGATGATGCACAGCACATACGTCACTAGGAATGACGGAGGAAAATGCTTTGGGGCAGCAGCTAGGGAGAGGAGGTTGGAAAAGGAGGTCCAACAGCCAGAAAGCAAGCTTGCAGGAAAGAGGAGGGAAGTGGGAAGGCAGGTTTCCCCTTGCTGACAGAGGAGTAAGGGACGCACCATAATTCATGTAATGTGGGTATGATGACAGCGTTGGCCTTGAAGAAAATCAAAATAATATTTCCTTCAGTTCCCCTAAATGTGATCAGGGAGTTGTTTTTCATTGGAGATGGGGAAAAGAAATGCTAGTATTTCTTATTCCTTCAATTCTTTACTGAATTTCAAGGTAGTCAAGTCTCACAATTTGAGTATATTGGAAGCGGGGGATCAAAAAGCTTGAGACGTGCTTTTTAGGGAAAATCTAATACGCGTATAGCTGAGAGTGAAGAGAGGATATGGTGCATACACCCAACCTGCCAGAATTTGAGACTAAGGGGAAAAGCAAAAAGCTTGGCGCACTCAAGAAAATAGCTCTCAAGAGCAAATCCTTACATCTTTAGAGAAATAAAAATTAACTACGTTTAAATATAAAGTTTCTGATTAATGTTAAAAATGCACTATCCAGGGCCGGCCGAGTGGCTCAGTTGGTTAAGAGCTCACTCAAGAGTGTGAGCTCTGAGCAACAGGGTCACCTGTTCGATTCCCAGCCCAAGCTGAGCAGCTGCTGAGCTGACAACAGGTGGCAGGATGGCTCAGCTAAAAAAAAAAAAAAAAGAAAGAACTATCCAAGAAAATGAAGACTAATAATTTAAAATAATTATTAAAATGGGTTAGAAAAACATCTCAGCCATATTCCCAGATACCTAGTATGTTTCTTAAAAAGTGGCAAAAAACATTAAGTGCCGCAGAGGTTCAACACAGCACAGAGTTCACACTGGTTAGAACAATTCTTAGATGAGTCCCAATTTAACAAAGTTCTTTTAATAACTAACCTCCACATATTGGCTCTGCAACACACCTTGTTATATCAAAAGCTAAAGTAAATGTTACAACATCAGAAACAATTTTAGCTTTTCTATCTTATATAAGCTGGTTTACAGGATACTGTTACCTGTTTTCATTAATTCTTTAATCAGATCTTCCTTCATCTTGATGTTAATTGTAAGTTCTCTCATTTTTTGTTTAGCTTCAGTAAGTATGAGTTCTGAATTCCTTAATTTTTGCAAATTCAACTCTTGACTCTCCTGAAGACATTCAATCTTTAAATCTTTAAAATAAAAGAAACAAAACTCAGAAATAAAGCTATCTGCTCAAAAAATATTCAACAGAAGTAAAGCTAAAAAAGAAAAGCAGACACAGCAGCAGTCTAGAAGTAGCAGAGGAAGAACAGAGACAGGGAAGGAAAGAAAGGGAAAAAATGCACGGCAACTGGGACTTCAGTTTCTAGCTTCAAGTAAGAGTTTTCCTTTCCTGACCTTATTTTTTCATAGTGAGACTTCCTCAGTCTAGTGCACCGATTTACATTCTGGCATAATTTTCTTAACTGGTTATAGACCAGTAACAAACAGTTCAAGAATGGCTACTTGACTAGCACTTATCTATCTATTTATATATTTTAAAATTTGTTTTGTTTGTGACATATAGTCAATTTTTGTTAAATATTGTATGCAGTCTCTTAAAAATGCTATTTTCATAGTGTAGGACTTATGTTATTTATATTCTCTGTACTCTTACTTTTGGTGCTTTTACCACTCATAGGCCAAGACATATTAATTAAAAATCTCCTACTATAGTTTTTGCAACATGAACATTTTATGCTGTTATTTGATGCATAAAAATTCTTAATTGTGTACTCGTACATTATGAGCACCCATAAACTAATCTGGCTTCAATGCCAAAAACATCACTAATGGTAGGCATGTGTGCCAGTGAAGCAGGAAAGCAGACACCTAATAAATTACTTAAGATTTTTTTTTTTTAAGATTTTTATTGGGAAATTGGGGGAGGGCAAGCAGTGTTGGGGAAGTTGTTGTTCTTCAATCTTCGTTGTGGAGGGTGCCAGTCGCCATCTGGCTGCCCGTCGGCACCGTGGCCTCTAAGCTCAAGGTGCTGTGTTCAATCTTAGTTGCAGGTGGGCGTAGCCACCATCCCATGTGGGAGAAGAACCAGCAGCCTTGTTGTTAAGAGCGCATGCTCTATCCAGTGAGCCATCCAGGTGGCAGCTCAGCTCAAGGTGCTGATTTCAGTCTTAGTTGCGGGTGGGTGTAGCCCACCATTGAACAGGCAATCTTGCTGTTACACCAGCTGAGCCATCCTGCCACCTGTTGGCAGCTCAGCAACAGCTCAGCTTGGGCGCAGCGTCACTGGCCCATGTGGGAATCGAACCGGCAGCCCTGTTGCTCAGAGATTGCGCTCTTAAGCCAACTCTTAACCAACTGAGCTACTCGGCCGGCCCCTTAAGATGTATTTTGAAGTAGTCAAGAGTACAGTGCATACCAACGTAGGTTTGAATGTAAAATCCCTATTTTGAGCGATTCAGCCTATAACTCTAGCCAGAATTGATTGGTGGAAAGAAATTTTTTTATTAAGGAGTGAAAAATTAGAGGTAGAACAGAGAACATAAAGGAAGTTCTACCAACCAGGAAAGCACTCCTACCAAGTTCCCGCTTTTGAGGATTCCTAGATGCTTCTTAAATTACTGAAGAGAAAGAGAAGTGTCTTATAAACATTAAATATAAATTACTTAAGAAAGTCTGTGTACCTTCATTCCCCAAACTTGACTTTTGTGTTTGATCATGAATATCATTCAATCCAATAAGAGGACAAACAGAGCCTGACTTTTGAATCCATGAGCGACTTCTGTGTCTAAAAAATAAAAGAACAGGATCAAAGGTAACTGGTCTGTTAGTTTTTGCTAATCTGCCCTCAAATTAGCTTCCTCAAAAAGTGACAGTAATGTTTAAAGAATTGTTAATTATATAAAATAAACAGAATTTTACTAATATTTCCACCCATGTTGGACCCAGTGGAAAATTCATTATGTTTGTTGCCACTGTGGTGGCAGAATCAGGATATCCAAAAACATTTTCTCTGAAAATTAAAACCCAACAACTATAAAAACTCTAAAAGCAAAACTATTTTTCAACTGTAAGACTGATGACTTGTGTTCGAACACTGGTTTCATAACACATTAGTTGACAGTATGTTTAGCAAAAACTACCTGCTGTTATATTAAATGGAAAAGATACACTCTAATGGAAAAAGCCTACATCTGTGTATATTTATTGCATCATAAAATTATTAAATCAGTCTATATTTAACATACCTCATTTCAGATTTCTCTTGGCCTTCTGATTCTTCATCATCACTGTTATCAGAAAATTGGCAGTGGAGGACTTCATCTTGTTCTTCTATGTGACCCAGCAGCATCTGACTTCGTGTTCGAAATCCGGCAACTACTCGATCCAGAGAGTACACAGAAGGACTTGTGTAGACCTTACAAGTGATTCCCCCACCCAACAACAAAAAAAAAAGTGATTTTTAAAATGTCTATTTTTAATCCTATTACTCAAAATGTTTTTAAGAGATTATTTGATAGGTACTCTTAAAATATCCAATCACTGAAAATATGCATCACGCCCCCCCCCAAAAAAAAATGTCAAAATTCATTTCACAATACTATTGTGCCTCATGGACACATACTTCTTTCAGAATCTAAGCAGCTCTTCCTTTTCTAGAAAGCTCTTCTATCTTTATCTATAGCTCCAAGGAAAATAGTATTCGACAATGAAACTGAAGAGAGGCATCAGTGAAAAACATCACAGCTCTTAAAACAGCACAGGCACTCCCAATGAACATGAAGCCCATATACAGTGTAATATATAGTGGAACTGGAAAATAATTCTGAACACCTGGGGAATTGTGGTGTTGCTAAGGGTCTGCATCCTCCACCAATCCAAATTTTCTACATGAAGAAGTCCAGTGCTATTGCCACTCCTGCTGCTAAGGCAAAATATTTTCAATTTGGAAATCCAAATGTATTTACTCACACTTTACATGTGGTGGTTAGGATAGCTGAATTAATGCTAAGTAACATACTTAATATGTATCATAGGATATATGGATTTATTTCTGGGCTAGCTATTCTGTTCCGTTGATCTATGTGCCTGTTTTTATGCCAGTACCATACTGTTTTGATTACTGTAGCCTTGTAGTATGTTTTGATGTCTGGTAGCATGATGCTCCCGACTTTGTTCTTATTTTTCAGGATTGCCGTGGCTATTCGGGGTCTTTTATGGTTCCATATAAATTTTAGGATTATATTTTCTTTTTATGTAAAAAATGCCCTTGGTAGTTTGATAGGAATTACATTGAATCTATATAATGCTTTAGGCAGTATGGACATTTTAACTATATTAATTCTTCCTATCCATGAGCATGGTAGGTGTTTCCATTTATTTGTATTTTCTTTTACTTCTTTCTTCAGTGTCTTATAATTTTCTGAGTACAGGTCTTTCACTTCTTTGGTTAAATTCATTCCTAAGTATTTTATAATTCTTGAAACAATTGTAAATGGGACTGTTTTCTTAATTTCTCCTTCTGATAGTTTATTATTGTTATATTCAAATGCAACTGATTTCTGAATTTTGATTTTGTATCCTGCTACCTTACTGAATTCGTCTATCAGTTCCAATAGTTTTTTTATGGAGTCTTTGGGGTTCTCTATATATAATATCATGTCATCTGCATATAATGACAGTTTTACTTCCTCCTTACCGATTTGTATGCCTTTTATTTCTTTTTCTTGTCTGGTTGCTGTGGCTAGAACTTCCAGAACTATGTTTTGTTTTTGTTTTTTTTAAAGATTTTTATTGGGGAATTGGAGGGATGGGAACAGTGCTGGGGAATTGGGGGAAGGGGAACAGAAAAGTTTCTGTCGTTTTGTTCTTCAGTCTAGTTGTGGAGGACATTGCTTCACTGGCCCAAGTTGGCACCATCATTGCGCTCTTCCTG